CTTCTTCTTCTTCTTCTTCTTCTTCTTCTTCTTCTTCTTCTTCTTCTCCTTCTTCTCTCTATCTCTCTCACAGCAACTCATAAATGCATAAGATCATGGGATTTGAGCTAGTAGGGTCATTCTCATCCAGACTACTTCTCTCATGTGGCAGAATAAGAAACTGAGGCCTAGGCTACAAAAGACTGTGAACTCCTTGAGAGAAGGGACCATTTTGTGCCTTTTTTTGAACCCCCAGTGCTTAGCATAGTACTTGTCATGTTTTTTGTTGTTGTTCAGTTATTTTTCAGTCATGTCTGACTCTCCATGACCCCACTTGGGTTTTCTTGGCAAAGATGCTGGAGTGGTTTGCTATTTCCTTCTCCAACTCATTTTATAGGCGAGGAAAATGAGGCAAACAAGGTTAAGGGACTTGCTCAGGGTCACACAGCTAGTAAGTGTCTAAGGCCATATTTGAATTTAGGAAGGGCAGTCTTCCTGACTCCAGACCTGGCACTCTATCCATGGCACCACCTATCTGCCTCATGCTTGACACATAGTAGGTGCTTAATAAATAAATGCTTTTTGACTGACAGAGGTAATAAGTTGTGGAGCATGGATTCTAACTCACAGACTGAGCACCTGAACTGGGATGCTTTTAAGTCCAAAGCAAGTATTCCATCCTCTGTTAGCTGCTGCCTCTCCTACCTGCTAAAGCATGGAAGGATTCTGATTTGCAACAATGAAGGAAGTGGAATACCCTGATCCCATGTCTGAAATCAATGGTCTTGAAATAACTACAGAGATATATATCATGTAATGCCTCAAACATCTCTTTCTTTTGGTAAATCATATATGATCTATGTAGAGATTACCAAGAAGAGAATTAAAAAAAAAAATAAGCCAATACACCAAAGAAAGGAAAAGCATAGGAAATAATCTTGATTCTAAATGTCTCCTTATACTTAAAAAGGCCAAATTTAGCATTTTAACGGCAGCCGTAATATTGGCTTGACTTCTCTCCAAGCTAAATCAATCATTCAAGTATGTATTAAGCACTACTATGTGCCAGACTCTGTGCAAGGTGTTGGGGACAAAAATTGAACAGCCCCTGCCCTCAAAGGGCTTACATTCTATTGAGGAGACACAACATACATGGATAAGAATATATACTATATACATATATTACACACAATTATATATACCATATATACTATATATATATATGGGTGTGTATTATATATGTATACATCTTCCCCCTAAAAGTATCCATGTTCTTGAAATTACTGCTCATGCATCAAATTTATCTTTTGAACATTACTCATAAAACCTGAAATTTTTAATTTTTAGAAAAAAATCTAGAATTTTTGATCACCATTTAAATGTGCATATCACATTTTTTTTTTGCAGGTTCTGTTCATCCTTTATAAGAAAGTCTTCTTGGCAAGTTGTGGCTAGAAAAAATGACCAGTGGGGTCCCCAATCCCTTCACCCCAGATAGAACAGTTGGTTTCTTCTAGTCTAGTTCCACTGGACTAGTAAATGGCTCCTCAGTACCATTGCTTCAAACCTATGAGATCTTAACTATCAGGGATTCTTAACCTTTTTGTGTATCTTGGACCCCTCTAGGAGTCTGGTGAAACCTGTAGACCCATCCATTCTCAAAATAGTTTTTTTGTGTGTACGTGAGGCAATTGGGGTTAAGTGATTTGCCCAGGGTCACACAACAAGTGTCAAGTGTCTGAGGCCAGATTTGAACTCAGGTCCTCCTGATTCCAAAGCTGGTGCTGTATTCACTATGCCACCTAGCTGCCCCTCAAATGCATAAATGCATAAAATAAAGATGAACAAAAACTCTAAAGTTTGACGAAAATGAGGATATTAAAAGGGAGATAATTGTTGAGAAATAAAAATTATGATAGTGGAACTGGAGAATTTAACTATGTATTTCAATAGATCAGAGGATTACAGACTTACAACTATAAGAGAACTTGAAGGCCAAAACCCTCATTTAACAGATAAGGAAACTGAGGCTGGAGGAATAAAGTGATTTGCCCAGGATCACCCAGCTAATAAGTATTTGAGGCAAGAGCTGAGTCTAAGCCCAGCACTCTATACACTGCACCTCCTAGCTACTCCCCCTAACTCTTGTGAGAAGAAGGGTAAAGAATGGATTGGATTTTCCACTTTTGGAATAGAAGGTGGGGATTAGGCATACGTTTGGAAAGAAGGGAATGATAACCAAGAGCAGTGACCTTCCATCCCCCCTTCCATGATTCTAGAAGTTTGCTGTTGTTCAGTAGTGTCTTACCCTGCATTACCCCATGGACCATACTATCCATGGGATTTTCTTGGCAAGGATACTGGAGTGGTTTGCCCTTTCCTTCTCCAATGGATTAAGGCAAACAGAGGTCAAGTGACATGCCCAGGGCCACACAGCTGGTAAGTGTCTGAGGCCAGATTTGAACAGCATCCAGAAGCTAAATAGTCCTCAATGGGTACTCAACATCTGCTCTTCTGGCATCAAGCTTCCAGAGGATGCGTCCCTACTCATCCCTGACCCTAAGGGGGAGCTGGTCTCATCTGCTTCATAACACTAAATTCTGAAGTACGTGTTCAGAGACATGTTTCATAAAAGGGCTGGTGGAAAGGTTGAAAACGAGAGAAAACACTTTGGAAACACTTTGTTTGGGGCCTTGTTTTACGATTCTTAGGTCTACATATAAAAATCAAGTTAGCGCAATAAACTTATTTAGCCAGTCGCATTGGACAGCCAGAATGCTTGGTTTGTGAGCATTGCATAATGAGAGACATTATTCTGTCTTTTCCTAGGAAGGTTTGTGTACTGGAAAGATGATATTCAATTCCCTTCTTTCCCCCACAAGTTCAAGTTTGTATAATGATCTTTCTGAGGACATGCACACTTAGTGACTGGGATTCTCTTTCCAAACATGTTATCAACAGCATTTTATGAAATCCGGTTTGGCTATGCTCATTAAACATGCAGCTCAGATATTGGTCCTAAAACCTTTAAACTGTAGTGATCTTAAGCATCACAGGTTGGCATTGGACTGACCAGGAGTCTTAAAGTCTGGGTTTTATGACTTGGCTGTCCCTGAAGACCTAGGGAACCTTCCTTGGTTTTGGTCTACTCACCTACAGAATCAGAAGGGAAAGAGTAGATGATTCAAAGAGTCTCTCCAGCTCTAAGACTATGATTTAGAGCAGGGATTGGCAAACTATGGCAGACTTATGATTTCATCCTTGTCAAGACTTTCCACTGTGAAAACTCCCTCCATCAGTGCAGATCAGCAGTTTTCTATAAGCTTAGAGTTAAATAGATAGTGCAGAGGATAGAGTAGGGGACTTGGAATCAGGAAATCCTGATTTCAAATCCTCCCTCAGACAATTACTAGCTAAATAGTCCTAGGCATGGTACTTAATCCCTTTAAGCCTCAGTTTCCTTTTCTTTAACATGGAGATAATAATAGTATCTACCTCCCAGGGTGCTGCAAAGATCAAATGAGATATTAGATGTTAATTGGTTTGCAAACCTTAGTGATTAAACGCTAGCTATTCTATCTCCACTATTTTCTTTCATCTCTTCTCAACAATGGAACAAGTTTTCCGATGAGAAAAGAAACTGGAAATAATTCCAGAGAATGTGGCAAGCTTCACCTCCAGAAGAGGGTAAGAGGCCATTAGTGCACTCATGAGAGTAGGCAAATGATCAACCCTAGATGCTCCAGAACCTACTTCAGTCACAGAATCCATGTCTTGTTGATGAGTTGAGACACGCCCAAGGGCCTCAGTCGGTGTCCCTGCAGGAGAATGACTTTGCTGCACCAGATCAGGGAGGTTGATGTGACCAGCAAAACCATTGCTATCAGTGTGCCCGGAACGTTTTTTCTCTCCGGATGACTGTGGAGGAACAAAACAGAAAAAGGGAAAGTGAAGTTACCCCAGTTGCAAAGCCAACACCATGGAGCCATCCTTCATTGTCTCTATCATGCGGATTTAAAGAGTCAAGTCAAGCACAGCAAACACCAAGAAGGGCAGACTCCATCAGAAGAAATTCAGTGTCAACTCTGACACTCCTCCCACCGCTGCCCATGTCCCATCAAAGTCATTGGACAAGGTGTAAGCCAACTAATGACTAGCTCTTTAAGCCAGCATCTATGCAACAGAATCATTTGTTTCTGGGAAACATTAAAAATGGTTGATGACTTTCTCAGAATTGCCAATATTTTATATGCATCATTTGGAATACTTTGATGAAAGAAAAACAGCACCAAAGAGCAGCATTTCTCTGCTTCTTTTTTCACAAGGTACATGTCCAGTTTCCATTAATGGTTAACTATTTAGAGCTGAAAACATCACCTTCCAATTAAGCGTAAGAAGTTTAATCCTAATTCATTTTATCATCTTTCTGTGTCTGTATTGGGTATCTTCTCTCCCTCTACACCAGGAGTTCTCCACCATTTTTTGTGTCCTGGGCCCCTCTGGCAGTCTACTGAAGCTTATGGACCCCTTCTAAGAACAATGTTTTAAAGGCATAAAATAAACACATAAAATTACAAAGGCAGAGAGGCATAATTTATAGAGGACCAGTATCAGAGTTAAAGTTCAAATCTTGCCTTTGATACTGACCATGGGCAAGTCACTTACTTGGCCCCCCAACAAATGCTAAGACTCTCAAGATACAGAAAGTTGCTAAAGATAGTGACTATTTCGTTGTCTTGCAACCCCAAGGCTTAGTACAGGGCCAAGAATTGAGTAAGTGTTTAGTAAATGCTTATTGATTGATCAGTCTGAATTATGCTGTTAAGTTCCAGGCACTACATTTTAAGAAATAAACTGGAAATTAAGCAAAAGAATGGGACCATTGGTGAAGGGTTTCCATATTATCCAACTGAACTCATCATTTTCTCCCCCAATTTTCCCTTCTTCCTAACCTCCCTGTGAGTGTTGAGGGAACCATCATTGTCCTAGTCACTCAGGCTCACAACCTAACTGTGATCCTCCACTCCTCACTCCACAGTCTTGTGATGACATTGGTCCTCTTCAAGAATGAAGGACGAATGAGCAACAACAACTCTATCTTTCATACCAAGTCCTGCCATTTCTACCTACATAATACATACAACTCTTTCTCTCCTGACATTGCCACCAGCCTGGTGGAAGCCCTCATTGTCTGGACTATCACAATAGCCTGCTGGGTGGTCTCCTTGCCTCAAGCTTCCTCCCACTCAAATCTATCTTCCTTAGTTGTCAAATTGATCTTCCTAAATCACAGGTTTGATCATATTATCTCCTTATGTAATCAATTCCAGTGGCTCCCTATGATCTCCAGAGGACCCAATATAAAATCCTCTGTTTGGCTTCTACCACCCATCACAATCTAGCCCCCTTCTACCTTCCTAGTTTTCTTGCACCTTATCCCTTCCATATACTCTGTGACCCAATGCCACTGGCTTCATTGCTGTTCCTCTTATATGACACCCCATTTCCCAACTCCTGCGCATTTTTCTGGCACTCTCCCATGCCTTAAACTCTTTCCCTTTTCCTCTCTGCATCCTAGCTTCTTTTAAGGTTACATGACTTGCCCAGGTCACATGGCATCACCAGGTATTTTGACCTTCATCTTGCCAATGGACTCCAATGACTCTGGAGGAGAGAGTGAGGTTGATGACTTTGCGTGGCTCTGCCTCACTCAAATCCAACTCATGCACAACTCAAGACATCACCTTCATGACGAATGACAGACAAACAACAACAACACAGCTGCTAAGTATCAGAGGCAGGATATGAAGCCAGATCTCCCCAACTCCAAGTCTGACACTCCATCCACTATATCTCATTTCCTCTCAAATTTTGTCATTTCTCTTCCTCCTCCTCCATGTCCCTTCATCACCCTGTGGATCACCTACAATGTCATTTGTAGGTATTACCTCCTGTACCTGCTCAACATCTCTCATATCTCTCCCCTTCCTCCACTCCCACAGCCACCGTATATCCCATTTCAGGTCCTCATCAGCTCTCACATGGACTAGTGAAACAGCCACCCAGTTGGTCTCCCTGTTTCTCCCTTCTCCATCCATCTTCTAAATAGTGACCAAAATAATCTTCCTAAAGCCTAGGTCTGGCAATGTTCAAAAATTTTCAGTGTTTCTTGTTGCCTCTAAGCCAGAATACAAACACCTTACTTAGCACGGTATTTGGAGCCCTTTGCCATCTGGCTCTGACTTACCTGGCCAGATTTCTTTCACAGGCTTCCCCCTTTATGCCCTCCATGTGCCAGCCAAAGAGGCCTGCTGTCCCTGGAAGTTGGCATTCCATCTCTCCCTGTCCGAAATACCTCTTTTCCTCTGCTTCTTGGAACTTTTAACTTCTTTCAAGGCTCAGCTCAGGATTTATCTCCTCCTCTGAAGCCTTTCCTGGTCTACTGAGTTGGAAAGAGTTCTCATACTCCCCTGATTATCTAGTTTCACCCCCTCATTTTACAGAAAGGCTCAGAGAAATAAAATACTTTACTTGAGGTCACACAGACAGTATGTAGCAGAATCAGGATTTGAACCTAGCTCTTCTGATTCTGGTAGAATGGAAGGAGAACAGGGATTATTTTTCATGTCTTAATCTATAGATCTCAAGCAACTAGCATAGTGCTTGGAACACACTGGTGCTTCGTATATGTTTGTTGAATCATATTGAATAGCAAGGTCTGAGGGTTTCACCACAGCCAGTGGCTGAAATAAACTTGATATGGGGGTCCTTGGAGTTCAAGTAACTGAAGAGTAACTGAGACATTATACTATTAAAAGGTTCAATATTAGGAGAATATCTGAAGATGATGGCAGGCAATATGGGGGACAGGAAGACTGTCAGCTAATATTTTAAGTTTGGTACCCCCGGGCCAGCTGCAACTGCCGTGAGGTCAGGATAGTGATGATGTTGATGACAATGGTGATGATGACAATAATAATAGTAATGACAACTAACATTTATATAGCGCTAACTATGAACCGGGCACTATGTTAAATGCTTTACAATTATTATCTCATTTAATCCTTACAACAACTCTGCAAGATAGGGTGCTATTATTATCATTTTCATTTTACAGTTGAGGAAACTGAGGCAAACAGAGGTTAAATGACTTGCCCAGGGTCACGCGGCTAAGTGTCTGAGGGCAGATCTGAACTCAGGTCTTCTTGACATCAGGTCCAATGCTCTGTCTACTGTACCATCTCTAGGTTAGGATGAATTACAAACAAAAGTGTATTTTCATTAGCCTTTTCTTCTTTACAGTGTCTCTTATACTTGCCCATTCATTTGTGCAAATTTCTTTTTAAAAAATTCAGTTGTATAAAGATCCTCCATTGAATGACTTTGCATCAAATTAATTAATTTGGAGAACATATTTTTTTGTTGATTTGACCCATCCATAAACACTGAATTTCCTTCCAAATATTAGATCTTTCTTTCTGCCAATATAGTTTTTTTTTCATAGAAGTTATACATGTGAAATCTCTTTCTTTCTATATGCATATATATATGTGTGGGAAAGTTAATTAATTCCAAACCATTTAATGTCTTTTTTGTAAATTGTGTTTTCTTTAAAAACAAAGTGATGTCATCTTGGCCTTTATTGTTACCATGCAAAAAAGCATATGATCTTGTAACTTTCCTGAGCTCATTTAATGTCTCAATTCTTCTGTTTAGATGTTTAGATTTTCTAGGTGCATTATCATGCCATCTGTCAACAGTGATGCTTTGACTTCTTCATTTCCAGCGTTTATTCTCATAATCTCTTTCCTGTCTTAAATGTGATTGCTGGCATTTCCAGTGCTGTCAAATAGAGGTGGTGAACATTTGATTTTCTATTGCATATATTATTGGCTCTTGGTCTCATGTAGGTCCTTTTGATTTTGTTGAGGGAAAAATGCTTCTGTTCCTGTTCTTTTTTGGAATTTTTATTTAAAATCATAAATGAATATTGGATTTCATTAAAGGCATCTCTGCACCTTTTGATATGGCCATATTAATTTTTAAATAAAATTGAGCCAGGCTTGGGTACCCAGTATAAATCCTATTGTCACTATGAATAATTTATATATATATATATATATATATATAGTAATGTATTTGGTTGGCTAGTCTTTCATTTGTTATTTATACCTCCATTCCAAGAGAAAAACAAACAAACAAACATGTGCTGGTTTAGCTCTATTGTCAAGACTATGACATACAGTTGGATGAATAGCTCATGGGGCCATATCACCCATCCATGTATCTTGGAAAGACTCTGTAGAAGGACAATGAGTTTGGAGTCCAAAATTCAGAAAAAGGAGGGCAGGCTGTATTGTACTTGGGAATATGAACAAAGCTTTTAATGACCTGTAGCTTCTCTCTGAAACAAAGGGCCATCATTTTTTTTTAACACCAACATTTTTCTGGGAATAATAATAATAACAATGATAACTGGCATTTATATAGTGTGTTAAGGTTTGCATATGCTTTACAAATATTTTCTCATTTGCTCTTCACAACAACCCTGGGAAGTAGGTGCTATTATTATTTCTGTTTTATAAATGACAAAACTAAGGCAGATAAAGGTTAAGTGACTTGGCTATTTTGAGCTGGTAAGTGTCTAAAGTAGGATTTGAATTCAGATCTTCCTGATTTCAGATGCAATGTTCTGTTTTCCAAACCATCTAGCTGCTTCATGAGTATGAAATATGGAAGACTACACTCTGAAGAATTTAAGTTGTGGGTAACCTAAAGACACATTGAACTGAGGACACTATAGCATATTACTAATGAAGAACTACCCAGAACAAGCCCTGTCAAAGATATAATATCAAAGGAATGTCTGCCCAGACGCAATTGAGGCATAAAATGAATAGCACCTTGTAGTCTAATTCTGTTGTACCAACTTGCTATTTTGTGTATCTCTCTATGACTGGAATCCTTTGCTTCATCCCCTTTGACTCTTGGCTTCCTTCAAGCTCAAATCTGACTTCCTGATGAGACCTTTCCCCTCAATTGTTAGTTCCTTCACTTTGAGATTACCCCCCATTTGCCCTGTATGTTTTATATCTTTTATGTCATACGTAGTTGTTTACATGCTGTCTCCCCCACTAGAATGAGCTCCTTGAGAGCAATGTGTTTTTGCCTTTCTTTGTATCCTGATAGTCAGCACAGTGCCTGACATCTACTAATCACTTAATAAATACTTGTTGATGAAATTGACAATGACATTATTTGACCTGTCTTCTATCTGAATCTGTGGTAAGGAATTATGGTGATTCAATAGATATTTACTCTAGTATTTATTATAAAAAAACATGGACTTTGGAAATAGGTAACATTGTGGATTCCAAGTGATTAAGAGAGACTCATTGTCATGGTCTATGACACTTGGCATAGGTACGCCCAAAATGTTAGGGGAAGCCTTTAAAGATAGTGTCCTAAATGCAGCCATCATTGATTTTGAGACATTAGCAATGCCCAGCCCTTCAGTTATGCTGATATTTGATTGAATTCAATTCAATAAATAGTGCCTGCCTGCTCTAGGCACAATGCTAAATGACTACATTTACAGTATATTCTATTGAATGAAACACTCTCCATAGAAAAAACGCCTCAGCAGGCAATGCAGACCTTTAGAGAAAGCCACCCTTGCATCAGTCTCCCTACAACCATACATCTGCCTTCCACAGAGCTCTTGTCTGGCTCTCCTATCATTCAAGAGATTCCCGTCCATTGCTAGCTGCCCAGTGTCAAACAGCCAATATGTGTCTGTCAGGACTCGGACCCAAGTTTTTTGACTCCAAAGCCAGTCTGTGCATTGTCCCCCATCTCTGAAATGCATTCTCCCCTTTATTACCATCTTTTAGTATCCTGGGTTTACTCAATCCTGGGCTTTCTACATGAAGTCCTTCCTGACACCCTTTCCTAATAGTCCCTCTTCTTTCCCCCTCTTCAAATTATCTTGTATTTCTTTTAATATATTTTGTAGGTACTTATGTGTATCCATTACTTCCCCTTTCAGTAGAATGTTAGCTCTTTGAAGGCAGGCATTGTTTCATTCTTGTTTTTATCTCCAGTACCTAGCAGAGTACCTGACCCAAATCAGGGGCTTAATAAGTGCTGTTGACTGACTGATATTGCTTCTTTGAATGCTGGTAAAGTGGGAAAGGAATGAAGACAAACATGAGAAAACATTCCTCTTTTTTAAACTATTAGTTTAAAAAATGAAAAATGAAAATGAATCCTCTGCACATAGAATTTTCCATAACTGAAGTTTTGCACTCTGCCTGGAGTACTTGGGATGCTTGGTGGTGGTGACTGAGGCAGGGTGGACAGACCACTGGTGGGGTAGGTTTGGGGATTGGCAAGGAGTGACCCCGTTTGTTCATCCACAGCTTAAGGAAAGGGCCAGCTTGGATAACAGGAAAATTGTGGTAGCCTTTTTTTTTTTTGCTAAGGAGGTGAGAGCAAGTATGTAGCCTGCCAAACTAAATGATGTGATTGGAGTTTAAAAACCCCCCAACAAAACCACATCTGTGCTAAGGTCAGTTCCATCAGACACCTTCAATAGTTCTCTGTAGTTGGTCCTTTCAGCAAAAGCCACTGAAAGGGTACAATTTTCCTGTTCAACTGACTGGATAACTCTTCCTTCAAACTACTGGCTGTCTTTGGTAAATAGATAAGAAAGACTTTGAAAAAAAGATGGAATGGGGTCAAGAAAGGCCCAGCTGTCCCCTTTTAGGGAGATGTTTCATAGCTGTGAATGCTTGCTTCATATCCCCAGGCTCAAATTCTGCATTCACATATGCATATCTCCTGCAGAAGAATAAGGTGTATGGTAATTAAATCATGCTGTCAAAGCATAGAGGGATATGCGAAAGAGGGAGAAGGACAATTAAAATCACTCATCCATTTATGAGTGGCCTTTTCTCTCTCCCTTTTGTGCTTACACAGAGTATGCACAGTCTGTGTCAACTCTGAGATAAAACCACATGCACATTCCATATATATTTCTCATCCCAACTCACCTCTCTTATCATTAAAGTTCCTTCTCTCGAAATGCTGCTAAATGTGTCTGCGTGAGAGGTCTCCAGGCCATGGGTTCCAACCATCGCCATATTGTACTGTTCATTACTTGCTGGAGCTCCTGTGGGTCTGCCAGAGGGGAGGGAACAATATTTATTATTACATTTTCTTCTAACCCACATACAGTAAATAACTTCTTCCAGTCCAAGGCAATTTTCTACCTAGAGTTGACTCTTACAGTAATGAGGATGGCAGAAAACTCAATTAAGTGGGGTTTCTGTTAAATGGGATGCCAGTTAGGCTTTTTTCAACCAGCCCTCTTAGCTACAGCTAGTTAAGCACAGCTGTGGTTGGCTTTTGTGAGACTTAATTCTAATGCCAGCTTTACAATACAGTATGAAGAAAAAGAATAAGGTCTTCTCGAGAAAAGGCCATCAGTCAACAGTCAGCAAGCATTTATTAAGCACTTACTGTGTTCCAGGCACTATACTAAGTACTAGGGATACAAAGAAGGGGGAAAAAACCAGTCTCTGCCACAAGGAGCTAACATTCCAATGGGGGAGATGATGTGTAAAGTTGAGCAGAGACTGGATCTATTTCTTTGTGTGCCTTGGAGTACAAAACACAGTGCCTTTCACACAGTAAGTGCTCCTAAAATGATGAATGGCTGGCCATAGCATACACTGTGCCCTTCACACAGTAGGTGCTCTCAAAATGATGACTGACTGGCCATAGCATATGCTATGCCCTTCACACAATAGATGTTTTAAGAATGGTGATTGACCATATCATATGCTGTGCCCTTCACATAGTAGGCGCTTTAAAAATGGTGATTGACTAGCCATAGTATAGTTTGAAGAGCAAAAGGATTCAAGATGACTTATTTGGACTTAGAATCGTAAAATGACAATCCCCATTTTACAGTGACTAGTCCATAAATTTAAAGCAGAAAGGGACCTTGGAAGCCATTTAGTCAGGGGCCCTCATTTTATTGTTGAGAAAACTGGGACTCAGAGAAGGCAAAGGACTTGCTCAAGATCACATAGATAGTGAATGGTCAAGTCAGGATTTGAACCCATTTGGATTTTGACTTCAAATCCAATGTTCTTTCTACTCTATCACATAGTCACACAGCTAGTAACTGATAGTCTGGATTTGAACCTGGGTCATAGGATCATTGATTTTAAAGCCAGAAGGTATATTCTAAACCAATCACTGTGTTGTATGCATGAGGAAATGAGGCAGAGAGCAGTCTGTCCTTGCCCTGGCTCTCACAGCTTCCAAGGGTATTGCATCTCTAGCCCATTCCTCTCTTCCTATTACACCATGATATGTTTATGACTAAAGGACCCATTTTACATGTGGGTAAACTGAGAATCAGGCAGAGGAAATGGCTTGGACCACTGTGGACGATCAGGACTAGGCCTTCTGCCAAATTTCAAACTGAGTCTATGCCATATTAGTACCAACCTCTGTTCTGCAACAGCAACAGGAGATCAGTGTTTAGGAGATGGGTTACTCCACTGGTTCTCCTCATGGCCACATTTGTCTGGGTCTTTATTACCCACTAGATATCTTTTGTTTAAGTATTCATTTAACAAACATGAAAGGTCCATTGGGTGCCATTCTAATCTCATGGTTTGTCCCTTGGATCAGAGGACATAGAAATGCTTTTTTTTCCCCTTAATCAAATCAGACTTACAGAAATACTGCAAGGAACAAGTGTGTTTTATGCCTCTTATGGGCACAAAGAAGAAACATTTCAGGGATGTCAAGCCCAAGAGTGGAAGGCGCTTGCTACCAGAGGTAGTTAAGTAAGATAGTGGATAGAGCTCTGGACCTGGAGTAAGGAAGACCTGAGTTCAAATCCGGCCTTGGCTACTTAATTGCCATAGGACTTTAGGTAAGTCACTTCACCTGTGTCTGCCTCAGCTTCCTTATCTGTAAAATGGAGATAATAGTGGCATCTACCTCCCAGGGTTGTTGTGAGGATGAAACAAGATGATATTTGCAGGGTGCTCCACAAATATTTAAGAGTTGTTGTCATCATTATCATTACCAGTAAGAAAAGAGAATGTGGATCGTCTAGACAGAGGCAATTATCTAAATTTGAACATTGAGTTCCTAAGTGTACCTAATTGCTTATAGCCTTTCATTTACAACTAATATCTAAAGACCTGCCTGCTGGGCAAGTTTTCATGATGTCAGACGTGCTGTCCCTGTCTCCTTCTTCCTACCCCACCTCCCCTTTGATGTTTTATCCCCATGGGGGAACTCCTGGTGTGGAATATCTTTTCCCTGATGCACAGCAGTAACTTGTCTGTGACTTCCTATTTGACGGCTGCCCAGTTGCACTGATAGGTGACTTGTTCTTGGCCACACCCAGGGGTATCAGAGGCATAATCTGAACCTAGATCTTCCTGCCTCTAAGGCCAGCTATGGCCACTAAGCCACAGTGTTTCTCTTTATCGTGTTACCTTTCCCTACATAGCAAGTGCCATAATACCAGGCACAGATGGATGGGCCATTGGCAGGCACTCCATATTTTAGGAACATGAGCATTTAAAAGAGTTTTCATTGTCTGACATTGGCTGCCTGTTCCCATGCTGAACATGCAGCTCCCTAGAGAGAGAAGAATGACCTGTTTTCTTAGCATGACTTTGGCTACGTCCATCCAATTCAGGGGCGGCCCCAGGCAGGTCACTCTCAGTGGCTGAGCAGCGGGGGTTTGATCCTCCGAAGTATTAAATTTCCACTTGGATTTTGATTGTGTAGATGCATCACAGAGGGCTTGCCATTGAGGCGAGTGATTCTCCTTGGCCTGCAGTGTCTATTAGCTCTGTTCTTGACCATGACAAAAACCTTGTCCTTGGACATGACACACAAAAAATGCCTTTGCCACCCCCACTCCGGGTGAGCCGAGCTCCCTTGCATTCAAAGGGCCTTAGCATTTAGACTCAACAGTTCAGGCAGCTAATCACACACTATCTTTTATTGCTGATGAAAAGATTCTTCTGCATGTCTTATCTGTTCAATTCCCCCCAGGGCTCTGTGAAGGCAGGGACTTTGGCTCTTTTGTTTCTTCTGTTACCCCACAGTACTCGCAGCAATGTTAGACCTTAGTAAGGCTTCAGTGTTTGTTGAATAAACACTGGCACGTGTGTAATGCCCTGTACAAATAGGTGGTGTGGGTATGCAATTATATGTATGCATGCGTGTGTATCAAGTGCACAGGGACAAGTCCCTACATCACAGAGAATATGCTTTCACCATGAGTTCATCTGCTGGTGCCACAAGTGCCATTTTTTGGCCATCTATTCTAAGTAGTAGCATTCATTTCCATAAGAGATTTGATTAGGTGCTGCAGATGGGAGTGTTGACTCATAAAATCCCTTTTTGAGGACTAATTTATATTTATTAGGCCACTGGATAAATCTACATTCATAATATCTCTTATCTTTGTCTCAAAACCATCTGTACCTACCAGGTAATACTGAGGATTGATTTTATCATCAAAGACTGGTCTACTTTGTATGGACACATTTGTTTAGTCATTGTAGTGTTCCAACTCTTTATGAGCCCATTTGAGGTTTTCTTGGCAGAGATACTGAAGTGGTTTGCCATTTTCTTCTCCAGCTCATTTTACAGATGAGGAAATTTAGGCAGACAGAGTTAAGTGACTTGCCCAAGGTCACACAACTAGTGACTGTCTGAGGCCAGATTTAAATTCAGGAAGATGAGTCTTTCTCCTCTTCCTCCTTCTGCGGTTAACTAGAACTCATTACTCAGACATCTTGCCAAATTGAGGTACTCTAAGGTTTGAAGAGGAGTTATCCAAATCATGAAATTGCTCCATCTTGCATTATTTATATCATATGAGGACCAGCCATTTTATGCAATTCTTTAAGTAAACTCTGCTGATTTTTAGTTACTTCACCTAGTATGCCAAAATTATTTCTAATTCAATTTTTAGTTTATTTCCATATCCCATTTCTCTCCCTCCCACATCTGCCCACATTCTATTGAGAAGGCAAGAAAAACAAAACTTACTATCAACATGGAGAATCAAGCAAATAAATTCCCACATTAGCCTTGTCCAAAAAAAGAAAAAGCTTTTATCAGGTATGCCAAAATATTGTTGTTTCAATTAGATAATGACAATAAAAGACACAAAAGGGTGTGGTGGATCAAGTGCCAGGCCTGGAGTCAGGAAGATTCACTCATCTTTCTGAGTTCAACTCTGGCCTCAGACACTTATTAGTTGTGTGATTCTGGGCAAATCACTCAATCTTGTTTGACTCAGTTTCCTCACCTGTAAAATGAGCTAGAGAAGGAAATGACAAACCACTCCAGTATCTTTGCCAAGAAAACCCCAAATGGGGTCATGAAAGTTAGACATGACTAAAAAATGACTGAACAAAAAAAAAAAAGAGGACACAAATAGCTAGCTGGTTTAGTAAGAAATCAATTCATTATCTTGATGTTGTACCTACATGCTTTTTATAGATTGCATCTTGGTTGGAAGGGATGAAAGAGTCCATCTAGAAAAACTCAGAACTGAAAACCAAAGACCTTTCCACAGTTTACCTCTCTACTTGAAGACAGAGGAGGAGGTGTGTCTCCTCTGAATGGAAGGGTGCAGGGGCACTGACTAATTGCAGGGGCTGCCCATCCCACTTCTGGAATGCTCTTAGAATGTTTCCTTACATTAGCCCTAAATCTACCTCTGTAATTTCCAGCCATTACTCCTACTTCTTCCTTTAAGGCTGAAAAAATCTAACAACTCTGTCAAGTGGCAGCCTTCTATATACATGAACACAACTCTCATATTCTACTTTAATCTCTTCCCTAGATTAAGTATCTCTAGCTCCTTCAACTGATTTACCCAAGGCCTTTACCGTCCTGGTTGCTGTTCATCTTATTAAAGCCTTTCCTAAAATATGATGCTCAGAACTGAGCACAGTGTTCTAGATGTGGTCTGAACTATGTGTAGTAGAGTTTCAATGACCACCTCCCTAGCTCTGGGCACCATCCCTCTCCTAATGCATCTCAAGAGCTCATCAGTATTGGTGGGTGCCATAGAATATTCTTGACTTATTTTGAACTTGGGGTCAACTAAAACCTTCAGATTGGAAAATGGAGGACAAGGGAGTTGAGCAACTTGCCCAAAATAACATATGTCATGAACTTCAGAAGCAGGATTTGAATTCAGGTCCACTGGCTCAGTGCTGCCCAAATATAAGATATATATACTGGGCTGCCTGAGGTCTTAAAGACAACACACTGAAGATCTAGGTGATGATGACTCCATGTTGGGGCAGCCAGGCAGCACAGTGGACAGAGTATTGGGCCTGGCATCAAGAAGATATGAGTTCAAATCCTACCTCAGACATGCACTAGCTGTGTGCTAGTCAAATCACTTAATCTCTATCTGGCTCAGCTTCCTGAAATATAAATGGGGCTAATAACAGCACCCACCTCCTGGGGTTGTTGTGAAGATCAGATGAGATAATAATTGTAAGGCATTTAACCTGACATATGATAAGAGCTATATAAATGTTAACTATCATGTTTATTATCATCAATTATTACTACCACAGCAAGACAGGAAGAGCGTCTTCCTTGACAATATTTGAGTCCCTCCCCATTCTTTCAGGTGTGTCTTTGTTAGATGTCATAAGGCCTTTGCGGTCCTAAGTCTTGGTTTCATACAGTCACCTGCATAAATGATATGTGATCTCAGATCTCCTGCCTACTGAAATACAAACATCTGAAGAGACGGCAAACTTGTGAAAATGTGGATTTCTTAGAAGAAGCAAATGTAGGCACTTGACTTCCAATTCTTTGCTTTTTTTTTCCTTTCACTTCAGAGACATAACCCTCTCTTCACCCAAATGAAAAGCAAAAGAAAAAAAAAATAAGGCAAACTAAAAGTCATCTTACATGAGCCTGGGGATGTCACTGACAGGCACTGTCCCATCATGTGTCTCACTTTCTCCGTCTTCTTCCTCCTCTTCACTGCTTTCTGATTCCTCACTGGAAGAAGAATAATCAGTCACCTTCTTCAGGGGCCGGTTAGTTTCCTCAATTCGGAGTTCCCTTAATTCTTTGGCTAGTGCAGTCAGGTCCTACAAAGAAAGAATTGACCTCCATGTGAAACATGTTGGGGCCCAGAAAATGACTTGAACTCTTTGTGTCTCACTGAAAGCCAATGTTGTAGCATGAGCAACAAGGAAAGAGCTCTGGAGAATTGTCAACAAACATAGTGACTGGGCTAGAACACATAGGAAACCATGTTTGTAGAGTGTGAAAACAAAGGAGGGAGAGATGAAACAAATTTTATATTTACCCCAAATCAATAGCTCGATTATGACTGCTTAGCTCTAAATATCCATTTCTAGATGGGCATCAAATACATGATTCTTTTATTTGGGAAAAATGAAGTTTAGTTACCATCAGAGTAAACTGGAATATATTGTGGGGTAAGAGACACTTCCCTCCCCAACCCTTTAGGGCTATAACTCAGCTTCTCTTGGGAATGGCTTTTTTTCCCAAATGTGAGTGCCATGGTACAGAAAGCAACAAGATGGAACCACACTCAATGTTCCATCCATGATGATGACCAATATAGAGTGGAAGAGCCATGAGAGACCATGAAGCTACTTGGCCCCCACCAAACCTGAGTTCTTCAAATTTATAGACACTGCTTTGATTTCATCAGGAGGCAAAGCAGAGCATGCCTTCAGAGAAATGGAATAAAGATTCCTTTTTTTTCAACAAAATACTCTGGAAAAGCCTGGCTGACAATACCTAAGTGAGAAGGGTAAACACAAGTTTTTCAAAAGATGGAAAATTATTCAGTTGACCATGATTCTGATGAAACCATGTAGCCTGCTGTGAAAGTGTAGCGTTTCAATAGGAGGGACATTGCAGGCAGTGTGTAGAGGCTGGGGGAAAAAGTATCTATTATCTAACATGCTTTTATAGCAGTGCAAAAAAAGGGAAGCAAATCAGCAAAAAGCATGATCATTCTGACTTGCATGGGTCAGACCGCCTATGGAACAAGGCATGCAAATGATGGAAGAAGCATGTTGGTTGTCAGTCTTACCATTCCTCCCTATATTAGTGACCGATGTAGGCACCATTGTATTCGGTCAGAGATCAGGGATTAGGGAGAAAGAAACTCATTGAAAAATTCTCAATTTTACAATTCCCCTAGGGCCATATTCTCTCTTCATTGCAATCCATACATGTCCAATTGGCTGATCTCATCATATGTAGGATTACAGTAATGAAGTCCATCTGAGAACGTCTTAAAATTCATCCCTTTGGCATTACAGGGGGATGGCATTTAGCAATGGCATCCATTACCACTGGATATAGAATTTCTTTTAAAAAAAATCAGTGAGAACATTTATATGTTGAGTGCTGTTATATTTCTTGAGATTGAGAAAATGAAAACATTTGGGTGGTATCTTTGGTTGGGGATCTTAAGATGGCCAGGTTTATAAATGGTTCAACTATATCCTTAAGTGCAATGGTCATCTCTCTCTAATTTCACATCAGTGTTATAGAAAGCTTTATAGATTCCTCAATTTGCTCTGGAGACACACTGACATTGAGATACTCCCCAAAGTGAAGATTCTAAAAGGAAAGCCTGGAGGACCTGCTATATACAGGGGTATCATCAAAACAGTTCTTTAAAGAGCTCAGTTGTATTTAAATTCAATGGCTTCAATTTCAGGGAGAACCTATAGGAACATGGAAGGTCATTCATGCAAATTGATCTCTAGCTCCTCAAGTCATGGGCCAGATAGAAAGTATTCCCATTGTGGATTGAAGAGTTTTTTTTTTGAAACAGTAACTCAAAATTAGAAGGAGCCTCAGATGTCTTCTAACCAAAACCATAGCTGAACAAGGATCCCCTCTACAATTTACCCCAGAAGTGGTCATCCAGCCTTAGTTTGGTGATCTCCAGTGGGAGGGGGCTTAGTGTTTCCCAGGTAGTTGGTTCCATTTTGGGATAGCTCTGATTATTAGGAAATATCTCTCTGTATGGCATCTAATGTCCCCCTCTGCAACTTTCACCCACTAGTCTGCCCTCTTAATAACTCCCACTGGCTTGTCTTTCTCCAAAGGAGGAGAAACTGAAGGATCTTTAAGTGAATCAGAAAAATGTATTGAAGCAGTGCAATGTAAAAGGAAAGTATAATGGGGGAGAAGATCCTCCAAGTCAACACTATATCATAAAACAAGATTGCAATCTGTTGCTTTTGGTCTTTGACAAACAGGTTAACCCTATGCTAAGTTACAGAGTATATACCTAGGATGACACTTTTTATTAGAACAAAGAGAGAATATGGTTTTAAAGAGTTTACCTATAATGCCAATAACCATATGAGTGAACTGGAATAACATCAATTGCCATGACAATCAATTATTTAAATCCATTCTAAAATCTTTTCCAATGTTCAGTGTTCATCAAAGTTGAAAAATCAAAAACTAGCAGAATTTAAAAAAGAAGGACCTCTACTGTTTAGAAATATTCTTTTTAGTCACCCAAAGTCTACTAATTTAGCATGTTGCTTTTCAAGAACTCATGCCTTTTCTTAACATGCTAATCCTTTTAAAATTGTAGTTGGGGCTTGTAGCTCATAGGAGCATGTACCAGGAGGGAGAAGGGGCCATGGGTCATGGTCATGGTCATCATCTCATCCAAACTCATCATTTTATAGTTGAGGGAACCATGGTCCAGAGAGGTTAATTTATTCACCCAAAATCATAAAGATAACAAAGTTGGGATTTGAACCTAGATTCAATGGCTCTCAGTCTAGTTAGTGTTCCTTCCATGATACCACACTGGTATTGTTCTTGCAATTTAAGCTTTGTCTTTCCTCACTGTACCTGATAGTTTGGCTTCAGGGCTAATAAGAAATCATCTTTGGTAGAATACCAAAAAATCACTGTAGAAGTTATTTCACAGTTTTCCTGGGAAGTTCTCAGATTCCAGTACCAAGCTCCCTGTCCTCCCTCCTGAACCCTCAAACAGAATTGACCTCTCAATGCCATCAATCTAGCTATTTAAGCGAAAGTTTGTGTACCCAAATCACTTTTAATAACATCTTCAGACCAGTTATAATAACAATGCGATGTGAGATTAACATCATGGCATTAGGGACTCACTGTAAGATGTCTAATTCTTAAATTTTCTCCAGATAATGAGCTTTTTGTAGGTTTTATTGCTTGCCCGCCCCAGGCTTAGGGCAGGGAAAAAAGGATTTGAAAGAGAAATGAAAGTGTTACTTAATAGGAAAAGTATTTGTGATTTTATTACTGACTCATGGGAAAATGGCGATTAAAGGTCTTAGATAACACAATCAATGCCATTTGGTAGTTTTTAATTGTAAAGTTGTCTTGATTTACTCTTTTATAGGATCAATTCAGTGTTGCTTCCTAGACCTCATATATATAGCTTAACCTAAATCTCACCTAAATAGGGGCTGTTTTAATGCCTTTCCATCTGTAAAATATTATATCAATTTGTTCAAACAAGATGACCTGTATTTCCTTCATGTCCTTAGATAACTGGGATACACACACACACACACACACACACACACACACACACACACACAAGGTGTGTGTAGATCACATTATTTTTGTAGGAAATTTGAAGACCTTGGGTAAGATACTTTGTCTCTCTGGGCCTCAGTTTCCACACCTTTAACAAGTGGGGGTTAAACTGAAAACTAAAGTCCAGTTCTTCAATTCTGTTACCATCCTGATTCCTCACCACTAAGGCTTGTGTTTCAGGGAACCCCACACCATAGATTTAATGCTATGAATCATTTTGTGGCAACTCAACGTTATAGACTACATAGAAATTAGTTTATTGAATTATAGATTAGTATCCCACTAAAATGAATGTCCCTGAACTAAATGTGCAGCAGGACCATTAAAAAATAATCAAAAATAATTCCTTTTGTTCCTGAAAAATGAATCAATTGTAATTTTTGCATTACCATTCAAGAGGATTTTATTTTGCCCATTTTTTGAGACTTTGATAATAAGAAATTACCTTGTTATTTCCTTTGAAGCTACTTTGTATCTATCTGCGTGTGCTCAGGCAATTTTCCCAGTTAGATCCTCAAGGATACAGAATGTTTTTGTCTCTGTATCCTTAGCATACTTCCAGGCACGTGAGAGGTATGTAACAGGCACAATGCTTGGTAGGTAAGAGGGCTTAACAGATACGTGTTGATGGATTGATATACCTAATAGTTCCTGAAGAAGGTGGCTTTTTTGTTGTTGTTCAGTAATTCAGTCACGTCTGACTCATGACTCCACGGGCCATAGCACGCCAATACTGTCCATGGGGTTTTCTTGGCAGTGATACTGGAGTTGCCATTTCCTTCTCTAGTTCATTTTACAGATGAGAAAACTGAGGCAAACAGGGTTAACTGACTTGCCTAGGGTCACAAAGCTAGTGTCTGAGGCCAGATGTGAACTCAGGTTTTCTTGACTGCAGGCCCAGCACTCTATCCATTGAGCCATCTAACTGCCTCCAAGTGGCTTAGCTGTTAATAAACCAGTGCCAACAATTATGAAGGCAAATGTTCCCAAGGGAAACCCAGTAATCCTATGGTTCTAATCTTTGGGATTTGTGAAAATTATGTGGAGAAGGTCACTTTGCTTAAGGTGGTAATCGCCTGACCCAGCCCCCTAGAGTCACTAAACTTTCCCTGAAGCACACATACAGAGCAATTTTATTAGTACCTGGAGTGTTGAAGTATGTTTTTGCTCTGAAATCCCCTCAGAAGAAAACTGGTTAGCACTATTAATCAATCAATCAATTAATGAGCATTTATTATGTGCCAAATGTATTCTAGGAATATAGCATGTATGTTGAGTGCTGAAGTACATTTTTTGTTCTTAAATCCAAGAAAATTGATGAGTGCTATTAATCAATGAGCATTTATTAAGTGCCTATTAAGTTCTTGACATAATAGTATACACAGGGGTAGTTTCTTAATAGTGTTATCTAGATGCTACAGTATACTCTGCTGAGACATGGGTGGAGACCTGGTATCTTTATAATCTTTATGATCTATAGCTTTATTTCTGTTAATCACCCAATGGGGAGTGGGGTAGGTCACCTGTCATATTTTCAGAAGCAGGAATGCTTATCCTTAAAGGTCAGATGTATACAACATGCCTCTCCAACATGCCAGAATCACTCAGGGCAGAGATGACAGGAAATCACTGCCTCATTTGACCACACGGTCCTTGGCAGGGTCAAAGGCTCCATGCCCCTGTAGCACCTCTAACTCCATGCATCTCAGGCATCTTCCCAAGGCCCACCATCTCTGCTGAGTACATGCAGATTGAAACTAACACACACCACCAGTTTTTGTGAATCCAGTTATGTTCACTTCTGTCGGGTCCCTGCCTACACCTGACAATATTGTGAGGTTCTCGTGTTGGTTTCTGCTTGGTGATTCTGCATAGGGATTTCTGCAAATCAGCTATTTGACCTTAAAATGATACTCTTTCCTTGGGCAGACTTTGCTACCTGAGTGAATGAGCTTTAACTCATTTACCTCTTCTGAGTATCAACACTAGCAAAATCACAAATTCAGATAGTTATAAACCACCACCTTTGACCATGACCAAGTGAAATAAATATATCACTAACCTCATCTATAGCTTTCTTATAGCTCTGTGATAAGTGAAGATTCATCAGCATCAGAGGAAATAGATCAGAACAGGAAAAAAGTCAGAGGAACATAGTTAGGAAACAGAATCAGAACAGTTAGAATAATGCTGTTGAATTACAAAGAAAAAGATACGAGAAAATAGCAATGCATGTTAAAAACAGAACAGCAAACTCATTTTAGCACCGATCTTAGCACACTTTGAACCTCAAAAATGTAAACCAAACAAGAAAGGCTTAGATTTCATTATTTTGCCTGAGAAAATTTCAAGGAAACCAAGAAGGTACATGGAAACTACTCCTAAATTAAATTCAACTGTTTAGTTATTATCTCTGTACTCTGCTTTCTGTGAAGTGACTTCCCAAGTGGGCAGTAACAGGAGAAAAAGAGGAAGAAATTGTTCTGTGATTTATAATTAGAAATAAGCAAATCAGGCAGCTTTTCCTCCTTCTATTAATCTTGAGGATCTAGGGGCCAGAGATCGCATGGACAAATGAAGCCCAGAGATTATTCCTGCATCATATTTTGGCCAAGACTTTCAACATCCTCCCCAATCAAACCTTTTTACCAGAACTACAGAGGAGAGAAAAGGAACAACGAGGTTTTTTTTTTCCTTTTCATTTCCACTCTCTGATAGACATGCTAATAGACAACAAAAGCTCCAAAGACAACAAAGCTGGAAAAAGTAATTGACAACAAAATTAGTTTCTTGACTGATCAAGATGGGGTTGATCTTACTGGAGCTCCTGCTCCCACACTTCTGATGACTTACAGGTGCAGATTTTAGTTTATCAGAGAGAGAGAGAGTTTCCTCAAGTACTCTTTTGTATGAGGGAAGGAAGAGATAGGAGAGAAGAACAAAGGGAAGAGAGAAAAGAGGAGGAAGGGAAAAACTCACTGCTGGTCGACCAGGCCGGGTGATATCCCTTGATTCTTCTGGCTTCACCTTGGGTGGTTCATGAGGAAGTACAGGTGATCCTTCAGATTTCGTGTTAGCTGGGAGACAAAAAAAGACAGAGAACAGGGAAGGTGGTCATGAAATGTTGGGAGGCTCATACCTTTAGTAAAGACAACTGCTTAGATGATTTTTCTTTCTCTCCTTTTTGTCAATGAATATTTTCTTGAATAATGATAATATTTTCTCAATAACAGACAGCTGGGTGGCTCAGTGGATAGAACATTACACCTGGAGTCAGCATGACCCGAATTCCAATCCAGCCTCAGAAACTTATTAGTTGTGTTACCCCAGGCAAGTCACTGAACCACTATTTGCCTCAATTTTCTCCTCTGCAAAATGGGGGGTGATAATGGCATTTACCTCACAAGGCTGGTTGTGGTGATTATAAAATGAGCTAATATTTGTAACTTTGTGAACCTTAAAATGCTATAATTCTATTAAAATAATTGCTATTAATAATAATAAATTCATATGGCATTTTAAAGTTTGCAAATCACAAATATTTCGTATGGAATGTTATATAAATGCTAGCTGTTATTACTGTTACCAAGAGCTAACATTTATAAAGGCTTCACCTGTATAATCTTCTTTGATCCTATCAACAACGTTGTGAAGTAGGTATTATTTCTATCATTATTTTACAGATAAGGAAACTGAGGCTGAAACTTGCTCAGGATCATACAACTAGTAAGTCTCTGAGGTAAGATTCAAACCCAAGTCTTCCTGACTCCTAGATCAACACTATACCACCTAGCTGCGGCCTTCCGGCCAAATGACCAAAGGTTCCAATTATGGGCCTTCTCCAAACACTAGGACTATGTTCATGTGATTCTAAGGCACTCTCAGTCAATTTGGCAAAAAAAGAGGAAAAATCCAGATCTGTAGAGGGGGACATTGGACAAGTATGTTGATGGCATCATGGCAATGAAGCAAGTCAAGATTCTCTTCAATATTTCTGACTTAAACATCATTGAGAAAGCTGACTTACTCTTTGGGGGTGTGTGGGGAGATAAGTCTTCTATTATTGGTCATGGGAATTATCAACTGTGAATAGTCTATGTTTAAAGTCATTTTAGTCTCACAGAATTGAAATACAAAATTCTGGAGAAGCCCTTGTATGTCAGGTAGAGGATGAGAAAAGGGAGGAAGTCTGAGTGGATCTCTGGTATCTGAGCCACAGCGAGTCACAGGGAGTGAGTGGATAAATCTGGTTCATTCCTTTCCTGAACTCAGGTCCTTCCTTTAGAGCTCTACACCCTTGGCCCTGTGAGGACAAGTAGTACTGTTGGTGGCAAGTCAAATTGTCCTGACCTCAGTTTCCTCATCTGCAAAATGAGGAGGTTGGACTAAATTGGTTCTTTCTAGATGAAAAATTATGTTCCTAACCCATGGAATTTTAACCTTTCTTGTGTGTTGGGGACCATTCTGGCAGTTTGTTGAAACCTACACCCTCCTTCTCATAAGGCTTTTAAAGGCACAAAATAAAATACATAGGATTGGAAAGGAAAGCAATGATACTGGAATCCAGTTATCAAAATATTTTTTAAAAACAAGTTGTGAGCCTCTTTCCTAAACCATGAACCTAATCATGCCACTCTCCTGATCAAAAATTTTCTGTGGCTCCATAGTGCCTCTAGGAAACACAGACACAGACACACAAAAATTCCTCAGCCTGGTTGTAAAATTCCTCGACAACCTGGTTCCCATCTACTTTCCCGACAATGGCAGTTCTTCCTTGTCTGTGTTCTATATTACAGCTAATCCTGGTGCCCAGCTGTTCTTGGGCTCTGTCTTTGCACAGGCTTTTCCCCACACCTAGAATGCACTCTTTCTCTTCACCTCTTGGAACTCTTAACTTTCTTCCAGGCTCAGCTCGGGAAACTCCTTCTATTTGAAGACTTTTCTTATCCTCCTAGTTGGGAGTGCCTAGTCACCTCTAACTGCTTTATATTTACTTAGTGGTTTGCTATTGTTCAGTTATTTCAGTCATGTCCAACTTCATGATCCCACTTGGGGCTTTCTTGGCAAAGATACTGGAGTATCTTTGGATATTGCCATTTCCTTCTCCAGCTCATTTTACAGATGAGGAAACTCAGGCAAACAGGGTTAAGTGACTGGCTTAGGGTCACACAGCTAATAAGTCTTTGAGGCTGGATTTGAACTCAGATCTTCCTGATTCTAGGCTCTATCCACTGAGCCACCTAGCTGCCCCACTAATAAGCAGAAGACATATTGAATGTGTTCTTTTTCTAAATAGAGAATTCTATTTTGTAAAAAAATCATAGAATCATAGATCCAGAGTCATTAGGGCCCTCAAAAGACTAGACTGAATCCAATTCTCTCAATGGTAGATGTGGAAACTGAAGCGCCAGGTGGATCAACTGACTTGCCCAAGATCACACAGTTACTAAGGTCAGAGGCAGGACATGAATTCGGGTCTCTAGACTTAAGAGTCAGTTATCTCACTTCTCCATCGCATTGCCTTCAAATGAAAAGAGGGTATGTTATCCATGCTGGATGGAAGCAGAATCACTGCTTCTGCTACACATCACCTGTGTTGATGCAGTAGGTTGATACCTAAGTGAAGCTAGAGTTGGCATTGGAACTCGGCTCCCCTCCTCTCCATCCTCCTCTCCCTTCCTCTCCATCCTCTCCTCTTCCTCCCCTCTCTTCTCTGTCCTGCCCTCCTCTCCTCTTCAATTCACCTTCATGGAACTAGCCTTGAACCAAATAAAACCACCTGTTTTACTCTCCAGAATGAACCTGAAGACTTTTGCTATTGACCCACTTCAGTGGGATGTTCTTAGTTAAGTTGTGATTATGCTAAATGAAGATGCCAAGGAAGGATGAAACGCTGGTGCATTTTGGGTGGCAGACTGATTTATAAGTAAATTTCAATGCATCAAATGGCACTGAAGAAGGGACTGTCCTTTATCTCTTGGAAAAATTACCTTGTGAAAAAGGTAATTCCGAGAAAGGGAAGTTTGATTAACTAGAAGCAATGGATCGTCACACATAATTAGTTGAATGATATTAAAGTTTTTCTCAGGCTACTTCATTAATGGAAACCAAACAGTGATGAACGACTTAAATTAAATGTCCAGAGATGTGATTTAGTTCTCCCCAACAGGATTTACAGGAACATTCAAATAATTAATTAAAAAAAAAGACTGGGTCTAGTTCTATGACTTTTTAAATTCCTGAGCAAACTCTGTTTCTAGCTAAACACATCATATTGTTAACTATACTTCTAAAAGTTGAACTGATTGTATTCTTTGCAGGATCCAAGAGTCTGTGTCAGCAGCTGGTTGTTAGCAGTCATTCTTGCTGGGGTTGGGAACTGGAGGAAAGGGATTGCTTTTGTGTCAGCATTGAGAAGCCTGAAGGGGAAGTCAGAGCAGCTGGGGATTTGAAATTGGTTGTAGTTATTCCATTTCCAAAAGAGACAAAGGCTGGATGGCCATGCTAGGAGTGTCTTATGGGGGGAGATTCTTTTCCAGGTAGAGATTGTGCGAGACTGCCCTGGTGACTCAGAGGGCTTGTTCTCACTGGCAAATGATGTCATACCATGGTTTGCCAGAAGAAATAATTCAGCTCAATGTTTCTAAAACTAAAACACTTCCTTCTCCTAACAGTGTTGAGCTTTCTTCACACACACACACACACACACACACACACACACACACACACACACACTCTTTCTCTCTCTCT